CATATGTTATGAGATATAAAAACATGAAGTCACATATGTAGACTTACCTTAGCTTTGTTATTATGGCTAAAACGTTCTGTCAATTTTCTCTTTTCTGTTCCCGAGTAAGGAATACCCATGCCTGGAGCATGTATTCGGATGGTTTGGGTTTTTTTTTTTTTTTTCTTTTTCTTTCTTTCTTCTTTAATGTCATGGCCATGTGGAAGTGTGTTTAAGCCCTAACAGATACATGGCGAGGACTAAGGAGAAGCAAACAGATTGGGAACTCATTGTGCGCTTCTCTCACAGAGCTTGGATCTGTGCATTTTCTTTAGATATGGCACCTCTAAGCTGCCAGTGTGATAACAGCCTTTCTTGTCATGCTTTAAGCAACGGTTTCCTGTAAATTCATTCAGTGTATGTTTGGTCTTGGGAAGAGCTTATTTCAGAATATCAGAATTAGAGGATCAAGACAGTGTGCTAAGTCTCCTCTCCTCAGTATATTTTTTCCATTCTAAGTATCTCTCTGACTTGAGTGGCAGTATTGGAACTTGCTGGGAAGTCTGAAATATAATTATTGTTTGATGGATAGGATTAGAGCAGATAGAACAAAATGCATTAAAGTTTCTCCCAAGGGTTCCCTTTGTAAGTATCAGTTTACTTGGCTGGTTTCTTTAGGTTTCTGCTTTCTGTTTTCCCTAGAAAATCTCCTGTAAACTCTACCTACCAATCCAATTTCCGTTGCCTTCATATTTAATACTTCAGTTGGTATGGCTTACAAAATAAGGCAGCCACGTTCAAATGTGGTGCATGATTCATTCCATTGGTGGAAGAAGTAGAAATTGGGTTTCTAAAAGAAGTCAAACCGCTGCATGAGAAATGAGAAAAATTGTTTGTGGAGTGGTCATGGAGTTGTCATGGGTGGAGTGGAGTCATTGTGAGCCCTGAATATGGAAGAGGTCTTTTGGTTCACTTCTCATAAATAAGATCTGTCAAGGATAAGACCTAAAGGAGATTTTTAAATGCAAATCATGATTTTTGTAAAATAAAGACTTGTTTTCCCTAGTTACTAATACAACCCACGCTTAGGATGCAAGCCTCCACTGAACATATACCTTAGCTTTGTGATGTTGGCTTCTCTTTGGGTTCTCACCCCTCAGCTTCCTATGGGGACCTATCTTCTATGCTCCTGTATAGAATCTTGGGATTGGCCATGCTGTACTGTAATCACTACTTATTTCCCTAAACTCCTCTGTATTCATTCATCCATTCATTCAAGCTATGGCTCTTTATTAAAAAAAAATTTAATGTCTATTTATTTTTGAGGGACAGAAAGACAAAACATGAGCAGGGAAGGGACAGAGAGAGAGGGAGACATAGAATCAGAAGCAGGCTCCAGGCTCCAAGCTGTCAGCACAGAGCCCAACACAGAGCTCGAACTCATGAACCGTGAGATCATTACCTGAGCCAAAGTCAAGAGGCTTACCCGGCTGAGCCACCTAGGTGCCCCAACCTATGGTTCTTAAGTATCTATTATGTCTAAGGCTCTATTCCAGGCAGCAAAGCCAGTGTGTCCTCAACTTTGTCAAAGCTGTCATCCCAGAGGGAGAAATAGTCAATAAGTACCTTGTGTTAGTCAGCTCAACTGCCATAACAGAATACCATGGTTCAGGTGGCATTAAACAACAAAAAATAATTTTCTCATTGTTCTGGAGGCTAGAAGTCTAAGATCAAGGTTTGGCCAATTAGATTTCTGGTGAGGACTTTCTTCCTGGCTTGCAGATGGTTGCCTTCCCACAGTGTCCTCACCTGGCCTTTCCTCCATGAGTGCTCATGGAAAGAGAGAAGTCTCTAGTGTCTCTTCTTGTAAGGACACTGATCCTATTGGATCAGGGCCCCACACTGTCAACCTTGTCTAACCTTAATTTCTTCCAAAGCGGTTCCATCTCTAAATACAGGCACATTGAAATTTAGGACTTCGACATATGCGTTCTGGAGGGACACAGACATTCAGTCACTAACATACATAAATAAATTTTCACAGATCACTACTTTGGATGGAAGGAAAAAGGTAAATTACAGGACAAGAATAGAGAACAATTAGAATGGAGATGGTGGTCGCTACTTTAGCGACTGTAGGCCTCTCTGAAGAAGACAGTTGAGTGAGACCAATAATGAGAAAGGTGTAGCCGTAGGGAAATTTTTGGAAATGCTCAATGCAGGTAGAGGGGATTATAAGTTTCATGGCCCAAGATGGAGTTGAGAATGATAGGATCATGTGACAGTAGGTCAGTGTGGCTGGAACCTAGCCGGCTGGTTTAGAGCCTAGGAGAAAATTACCAAAGAGGTAGGTGTTTGCCTATTTGTGCCAGCCAATACTAGAACTTCAAATTTTGTTTGCATTGCAGTTAAAAGCCATTGGAAGATTTTAGGCTGAGTAATGTACCAACAAGATACAATTTAAGTGGCTAGACAAAGAAACTCTAAGGAATGTTTTAGAATCTTATCAATCTTTGGTACACGTTGTAAATGCTCAATAATTCTTTAAAAGTGAAAGGATGGATGTTTACTTACACCTTAATTGACTTTGCTCAGAAGGCAGGTGTATTAGGTATAATCTACATGGAGTATATAGTCACTCTTTATAGTGTACAATTCTGTGAGTTCTTTTTTCTCAAATGTCTGTTTGTTTGTTTGTTTGTTTGTTTGTTTGTTTTGAGAGAGGGGAAGCAGATGAGGGGCAGAGAGAGAGGGAGAGAATCCTAAACAGGTTCTGTGTTTTTAGCATATGGGGCTCGAACTGACAAACTGTGAGATAATGACCTGAGCTGAAATCAGGAGTCAGATGCTTAACTAACCGAGTCACCCAGGTGCCCCCAATTCTGTGAGTTCTGACAAGCGTCAAAACAGAACAGTCACATTGTTTCCCAAGATTCCCTCATGAATCTTTAGAGTTAGTTCCATCCCCCAAGCTCAGCCTTTAACCTTCCTCCACTGATCTATTTTCTGTCTTTATAGTTTTGCATTTTTCATGCTGTAATGTAAATGAAATGATAAAATACAGAGTCTTTTGAATCTGACTTCTTCATTTAGCATAAGTTACTTAAGATTCATCATGTTAAATGTATTGGTAGTTCTTACCTTATTGCTTAGTAGCGTTCCACGATACAGATATACAGGAGTTTGTTTATCAATTCGGTTGAAAGATATCTGGTTTGTTTCCAATTTTTGGCAAGTGTCTTTATTGACTGCTGCTATAAATATTTGCATTAAGGTTTTTGTAGAAACAAAAGTTTTCATTTACCCTGGGTAAATGAAATATCTACCACTGGGATTATTGAGTTAGAAGGTATATGGATGTTTAACTTTATAAGGAATTAACCTGGTTTCCAAAATGACTATACCATTCTTCATTTCCACCAGCCACGAATGAAAATTCCACCTTCTCTAAATACTTGTCAGCATAGGATTTTCTTTTTTCTTTTTCTTCTTTCCTTCTTTCTTTCTGGGCCATTCTAATCATATGCAGTCAATATCATTTTTTTTAACTGCACAACTTAAACTTAGATGTCAGGTGGGTATGGATAGTACACAGTACCACTGTAACACAGTAATTTTTCCAGCTGCAATTTTTTAACCAAAAGAATACGACCTTATAATCCTTGTTGAGAGCTGGATAAAGTAAATTTAAGGCGATAGTCCCCCAATCCTTGCTTGAAGACATTTATGGAATCTAAGATTAAAGAATGTACTCCTTGAATCCTGGAAGCCTTGAAATCCAGCTCTCCCTTCAATAGGAGGCTTGTAGAATGCTTCTTTAGAATGGTAACGCATAATAGTCTCTATTCAAAATATCAGTGACCTCTGAGGGATGATGAAGCTTTGATCCCAAAACTCCAACCTCAGTTATGCTATTTTTAAAAAATAAAAAGTAGTAGCTGATTTTTGCTAAGAGTACAGCAAAGTGAAATGATTCCATTACCCCTGAGACCCGTTTTCCCAATCTATCCTCACATCAGTGAAATAATCTATCAAAGGCAACCTGGCCTTTTTCATTCTGTGGCTGGCCCCTCTGGCCTTTCACTTACCAGTGAGACAGGAAGGAAGAAACATGATTTGAAAGATGTGCTGATGAATTTGAGCATTAGGTAACTTGTGAACTCTAGGGTAGGGAGTGAGCAGAGATGGGTGTATCACTGATTTAAGTACCTAGAAGCTTCCCTTTGAATGATCTGTAGAAGGATCATACCTCTCCTGGTTTGTGAAGCCCTGATCTTGCCCAGTACCATTCTGTAATAGTTTGACAAAGGGCCTGAAGGACTTGAAACTCAGGGCTTTTTTCCAGTCTATACGAGTATCTCCCAGAGGTCCAGAATCTCCACCAAATGCCTTCATTGGATCTGGAAAATATCCCTGTCCCCAACCACACACAAACCACACATTGTTCAATTTTTCTCTTTTCAGGGAGAGAACATTTAGCTTTGTTTCTGCATAAGTGCTGGGGCTTCTGCCTAGCACAAATTATGTAGAACTCTCTAGGAGATGACCCTCTTTCTTGACTGAAGAGATAGATGCAGTTTGTGTACACATAACATTGGCCATCTTTATAAAGCTTGGTGCTCTCATTTTCCTTTTCTCTCAGAGAGCTGTAGAATGTACTGCCTTCAAAATAAAAGCGATTTTAAAAAAGAAGAAGAAAACAAGACAAAAACAAAAAAAGAGAGGCCCATGGCTTTTCCGCATCTGTTGGTCAAACAGACAATGACACTCACCTGGCATAAGAGACTTTGTGCAGCCCATTTTAGAAGATGACTCCAAGTTGTCATTTTGTTCAGAATGATTTATTTCTCTTGGTGGAATCAACTACTATAAATCTCCTGGCTGCTCCTGCTCACAGCTTGTGGAAAAACACGAGGGTGGAACTCTGTGTTTCCCAGAGGCACTGGGTAGCATTTGAGCAGCACCTCAGGCATTGCAGCAGCTTTATGAATCTTCTTTTTGTTGTTGTTTTCTGTTTGCAGATTTTATTCTTCACCGTACAGTATTGCAACCAACCGCATGATTCCACAGACATCTCTCACGCCATTCATTGCTGCTTCCCCTGTCTCCACATACCAGGTATGTCCAATTTACCTGCACCTGAGGAAGCGTCTTTCTTGCCAGGAGGCTATGTGAAGGCGAAAAGGACACAGTAGAATTTTTCCTTTAATTGTCCTCAGACACTGCAGTCAGACCTTTAAGTAATAAGCCTCAAGGCTTCACCTACACTTTGAAGGGCTCGATCACATCTATGTCCCTGAAGAGTAAAATCCACTGTGCTCTCCACTCTTCCTGCTGGATTTTTATGATGAGGCTCCTTTCCAGCCAACATGAGTGCAGCCTTCTTGCCGCTGAGAACTTACTTTGTTGGTTATCTGCTATTTGGGTTGTCATGTTCCCTACTGTGTCTTTTCTACAAGCACACATCTGGCATTCCCCTCACTCCCTCCAGGATATTTTACCGTTGTCATCTCATTTTGTCATAGTGGTCCTGTGCGTCCGTGCAAAGCCACATGGACAGTTGTAAGTTGTTTTCCCTAAGAAATGGGGAGGACTATCAAAGTGGTAAAAAGTGATTCCTGCTTCCTGCTCTTACCTCATTCTCAGTCCCGCAGAGGTCAAAAGAGACCTCACGGGCTTGACATGTCGAAAAACCAAACAAAAATCCAAGACTCAGTGTGTGTCCTAAAGCAGATGTTGTAGCGAGTTAATTCTAAGTACACAGGTGGATTAAAATAGTCAAACTTCTCCCTCCCAAAATACTCCTGGTCTTATTCCTTTGAGTCAGAAATGTGCTATCACTCCCTGCTTCTCTTTGCCTCACATTGTTCTTCAGATAATTCTTCTAATTCTGATTAGACAGTGCCTATAGATGCTCCCTTTAGGGGTATCTAGTGTCAGCTTTTCAAAATTTTGGAGAGAGAAAGAGCACGAGAGAGTGTACATGTGTGCATGCGTGTGTCTGTATTTTACAGATGGTGGGGGTGGATGCTTCACAATGGGTAAAACTGTAATGTTGCTGACTGCTACTAATTCAGTGAAGTTTCACCTTATTCAACCATTGCATCCTTCATTCCAGGGTGTCCAAGGTGTCAGAGCATCAGACTCGAGACGATACACATTTTTCCTTAACAGATCATTTTCATTCTTTTTCTGCACTTAGCTTCTTGATACACGTCGGTGGGTGAATGGAATAGACTTGCATGTGAATTGCAATAGAGGGTCTCAGAATGGATGATTTCTTAATTGCCTTTCCTCGGGACCCATGAGGCTACGTGCAGGTGCTGTTCAGTTTTTGTTTTTCCTGCAGTCCTGCCTGGTTGCAATGTGTGTTTTTGTGTTTGTTTTTTTTTTTTTTTAACCCATTTTTTCCTAATCCTGGCCTATGTTTCAGCCAAGACCACCCACTGAGCCCCAGCATAGAGCACTTTGGTGACATGAATAAAATATCCACAGAAAAGTGATTTCACTTGGGAGGGCTTATAAGTGGAATTTAACTCTAGCTCCTTTTTTCTCAGAAAAGGAATCAGAGCAATTTCCTATGTTGTTGACTCTTGCCTTTCACCACTTTCTTTTTTTTTTTTTTTTAACCTAAAGTGCATTGACACTTTTGTTAGTGTGAGTATATTGAAAACAAAGTCTTACAGGGTTCTCTATGTGACAATCCTGACTTTCTCATTTGGCCGACAAGGCACATTTCAGAACAGATGGTTGGCTTGGATTCTCATTTTGATTCGCCATACCAATTACCAGGAAAGAAAAATATCACAAACTTGCATAACTTGGGTTAACCCAAAGCACTCCCCCAAATTTCTGATTGATCTCTTTTAATTCTTCCCCCAGATTTTACCACTGAGATTTATTTCCAAGAAGAGATCACTTGAGAATTTGAAATTAGAATGAATGAAAGGAAACGAGGAAGTTTTAGCTGTCAACTCTTTGTTACTGGCTTCATATCCCTGGGCGTTGACCCTTGAGTAGGAGGTCGCTGAGGCTTCCACAGTCTCTAGCCTTCAACACCAACCTCAAAATATGCTCCAAGGCCCAGCCTGGTCCTCATGGGCGTTGCAGCAAGCACCTATGAAGTAGGAATTTGCTTTTTATTTTACTATGTTTTGGTAATCAGGTCCAAGAAGTTCCTGTCTATCCTCAGTTCTTAGCACTAATTAGCTGTAAAGTCAGATGGATTCCACTTTCTTATGACCTAGTGTGACTCCACTGAACGCAAGAACCAAGTTCGCTCTGTGATTGCTTTGTGCTAATAAATGCTGTTTGATGCATAGGTCCAGAGTACTTCATGGATGCCTCATCCGCCATACGTTATGCAACCAACAGTAAGTGTTCTCAGTCACCTGAGGCTAAATATTTCTATTATCCAAGTGCAAGCTTTTGTAATGCATAGAAGCTTTGGGGTAAAGCTTTTGTTAGAGTTCATACCTCTTTCAGGCAGCCATATTTTCCAGATGAAAAGCTGTTCCTGAAATTCTACAAAAGCATGTACAATAGATAGATGGTAGAGTTAGAGAGAGAGAGATGAGAGAAAGAAAAAGAGAGACAGAGATGACCGAGACAGAGGAAAGACTGAGAGACAGAGAGACAGAGAGAGAACAAACTTTTTTAGAGGAAATAGTCAACCTCCTCAGCTGATGTCTAACCATTTGTTATGAATGGGGAATTTCTACTTCACACAGGAATTCTGAACTCTGGACAATTAAATCTATTATTGGGGTAAAGCCTTTTTGTTTTCCTTCTCTTGTTATGTTTTGTTCTCTTTGGATGCTGTTTGATATCCTTTGGGGGCAATTTTTAGTATCATGGCCAAGTGGTCACTCAAAGAAATATATTTGAAATATGAAGACAGTTGTCTACTAAAAGGTGGAGATACAGAGATAGAAAGCAAGGTTGTTAGATACTCTTTTTAATATTAGCTAACTAGAACCATTCTCTTCTTTAAAAACCTCTTCTAAAAATATTCAAACTCTATTTTCTACTTGCCAATTTCCCATTTTGTGACATAATAGGACATCAGTCCCAAAGGAAAATACTACACATTTCATTTGAATCTAGACTGAAGGCTAATGATTCCATGTGTCTTTGTCTAGGTGTTCCAAGTTTTCTAGCTCTGTAAAAGTATAAGATAGCATGATTTCAATAGCAATAGATTTATGAGCATGGCAAGTAGGGGAGACAGGAAGTTGTGTGATAAAGTCTGTGTTGTATTCTTTTGGGCATGCTCACATCTGTGCCTTTGTTTCCTTTTCTGTCACTATATTAACAGGGCTATTGGAAGGATCAAGTGAGAGCATATGTGAAAATAGTTCTTAAAATACAATATGCTATATATTGTTATTGCCATTATCCTTCTTGTATTAGCTGTACAAAGACAAAGCAGTGCTTCATTTTAACCCATTTAAAAGCTAAATATAAATAAGGTAGCACACATTAAAGATCAGGGAACTAAATCCACAGGCATCCATTTCTTGGACTCAAAGGATCATAGCACCTGGTTTTCATATATGAGCTTTGTCCATTTTTTTTAATAAGAAGCATTCTATGTTGCTTCTAATGTTTTGATAGTTTGTTTTTTATTTAAAGAATGAAATATGTATAGCTTAATACAGCAGAACTTTAGACCGTATTTTGCAAATCCCTCTATTTACTTGTATTTACACCCCTTGGGGGCTACGTGAGTTCATCTGGTCTGTGTTCTGTAAATCACACCAGCATACAGTGAATCCAGAGTATACTTTCATATCCAAGTCATGAGGTAAAATTCAAAATACATTGCCAAACCATAGATTGAGCCAATACAAGAAAAGGGAAGAAGTTCTGCCAAGTTCTAAAGTGGAGACTTTCTAGAAGAAAACAGCTACCTTCTAAAAAGTTATTATGTTCATCAACAGGGTGCTAATGCTAGCTTAGTCCTCACAGTGAGGTGAAGGACCATCTCACTGTGACCAAAGGGAATGCACATCTAGCAAAATCCAAATATTTTTCCAGATATCTAAATATGTAAGATTCTATCAGTCTTTCTAGAACTATCAGTAGAAAGGAAGGTGTTTGTATGTGTCTTTATTTCAACTGTCACTCAGGACCTCAGCAAAATTTTTCTTCCCTTCGTCCTCCATCCTAGCTTCAGCCCCATTTTTTGGAAACGTTATTTCTCATACATCTTCCTCCAGCAATAGCTGTGTGTGTGTGTGTGTGTGTGTGTGTGTGTGTGTGTGAATTTATCCCCTTAGATATTTCTTGTTATGGCTACTGCTCACTGATGTCTTATCAGTTCCCGTAACTAGACGGTGCATCACATTTGTGTTGAGGTCATTTGGTTTGAAATACAATGTTTGTGACCGGGGCAGATTCCTGGAAAAAGGAGTGCCTGGGCCACCCACCACTTTGTTGTCTTTAGCATGGAAAAACTGGCTAAACAGTGTCATGGAAACAGAAGTCTTTTCCCAATAACAGTCTCACTCGTTGTCTATATTGCATAAATAACCTTATCCAACCAGTCTTCATCTCATCATCAAAATGGGGGCTAATCACTGAATGATACTAATAATACAAAAATACCTAAGCAATCTAAGGCAGATAAACCAAATACCTGGATCTTGAATGAATGAATGAATTAATGAATGAATGAATGAAAAAAAACAAATGAATGACTTGATGATTAACAGCATGAGCTCTTGGTTAGGGTCTTTGAGATAGGGAACCTTTCTCTGTTATGGAACTCTGGGCAAGAAAACTTTCTTAGCCACCGTTTACTTATCTGTAATGCAGACATGCTAATGCTTAAATAATTATATACTGTGTTCATAAAAGGGAAAATGTGTTAAAGCTCCTAAATAGTGTCTAGCAAATAGCAAACACTCAGTGAATTACTATTATTCTTATTTAGTTATAAAAGTACAGTGCACATTATACTTTAGTTGAGCCAAATTATATACAATGAGAGTTGGTATAGGAAGAAAGTTGAGAATAAACAATAATCACCTGTTTCTACTACATTTTTACTATTTATTTAACTACTTTGCTAATGAGTTTTTGGAGATAACCTCTATGGCTATAAATTGCTTAGATGGGTACTTATTTCATTTACTTACTAAACCATTCAATCCTTAATTCTAAGAAAAAGACCTATTGGGTACCCCCTTTCTGTCTGTAACTGGAACCTACTTTACAAATAAATTCAAGGGGTCAATATCTACATATCTCAAATATGTTGCCATAATTATGATTTGCTTACAACTTTTCTCCTCATTCATGTTTTCTCTTCTGCCATTTTGAGAAAATCTCATGTAGAAGCTCGGCATGTAAACATGTTTCTCCCCCTCACTGTGAATGCAAATTGACTCCTACAGTGGAGCCTGAAGCCTGGGTTCTCTTTCAGGCTTGGCTCAAAGGACTCCAAGTTTCAACCAGGCTTGTATCCAAAGAGACTTCAGGAAAGTTTTAGAGTAGAACACTGTGCCTCTGGTCTTTACCAGGATGAATGGTTAAAATGGGGGTGGGGGAGGAGACAGGTAATGGTCAGTGAGAGTGAAATGAAATGATGGAAAGGAGGAAAAGGAGACAAGGGACAAGAGAAAAGAAAGCATAAACATGAAACCGAAGTGTGCCATCCAAGTTTGTTTCCTTAGAGATGTAATTTGCTAAGCTGTGTGTAATGGACTTTTTCATAGATTTGGAAAAAGATTATGAGACGTCTTTCACTCTCAAGGAAGAGGGGATAAAAGTCTCCTTGACTGTGTTGTAACCGTCCTACCGGTATTTGTGCGAGAAAACCGTTCTCTGTCAGTTAGTGGACTCTGGGACCTTATTGGGTCCCCTGGAAAGTTGTCAAACCCCACTTAGGACAGCAAGAGCATTTCTGTTCACACTTTGTCATTGTTCCCCAGAGCACACACAGGAGAAAGCACTGTTGGATGAGATTAGGAATTCACTTTTTGCTGTGGAGAAGTAAAATTGCTGACTTTGTCAGTGCAGTCAGTTATTGGTCGCTCCTTCTCAGTGCAGAGATCTGTACTGCACTCTGAAACTCCCCATCACACTGACAGAATTTTAATAGATGATGGATTGCAGCAAATATCTACTCTGCATAGCATCATGTTACATTGGAATCTTATGTGAATGCACAATTGAAATTCCTGTGTTGCAACACATTGGACATTTTGTAAATCTGTGCTGACAAGGAGAAAAGATGATAGTTCCCAAGAAGAAGCATAGTCCTATTCCCTTAAATTGTATTTAGGTTCATTTGAATCATAAATCTTCTGTTCTTCCTACAGTTAGCATTATTTTCTCTCAAGGAGAAAGGTCAGCTTTCATTTTTACTTAATTACAAATTGGTTATCTAATTACAGCATTCTAAGAAATGCAAGATGCCCTATTGAATCATTGGATGATTTGTGGCCATGCATGGCTGAATTATGACTTTTATGATTAATAAACCTAAAGTTTATAGCTGAATAGTAAATATAAACGTCCCCTCTGCTACAAGGCTGTTCACGAAAGCTCCAGAACATTTGATTTGGTCATCCCTTGCCAGCAAACAGACCAGGCCTAAGACTTACTGTTAAAGGTTGTATCCTATAAATTTGTAGCTTTGTTTTCTGTAAAAGCACATCACCTAATGTGGAAAGAATATCTAAGTCATTTGAATTCTGTTCAGAAAGCAAGGTTTTCAGATATTATCCTTTTACTCCAACAGTTGAGCTGAGCAAAAATCCTAAATCTCATAATTTCATTAGCAAAGTAACAAAGTCAAAATGCTTTTGCTACCAAAGGAGTTAACTTGGCCAAATCTTTTTTTAAATACATAGCAAAATCAAAACAACAACGACTCTAACCCAAATATACTATTTCTCCTGGAAGAGAATGCAAATTGAATGCGAATAATCTTAGGAGGAGCAACTATTTTTGTTTTTGAGTGTCCCCTCCTTTTAAATATACTGCTGGGCTGTGTATTTGTTCATATTGTGACTATGACAAAGCCATTTCCACAGAAAGTCTCTTAGACTTTAACTACTGTAAAAACAAAAATAGTGCTGGCTTTGTGGTGTTAAATGTAACTTCAAAATTCTACAATACTTTTGCAAAAATAAAGAAAAATCCATTAAAACTGAAATTCCAGGTTCATAGATTATAAGTGCGTAGAGCATAAAGACCCCTTCACTCATCAGTTCTACTCTCCAGAAAGAAACCTAGGAAATAAAATTTTATGTCACCGTCCAGTCAATTTTTATGCATATGAAAATCTATATGTACTTGTGCGTAAATGTGAACGTATTTTTTAACATCTATACTAGATCACTCTACAAATATTTTATTGCAA